TTAGTACTTCTCTTTGAGCAATGTCTTTGTTCGAAATAATAGAGGAAAAGACACTTTGTATAATAAAGGCAGCATTTTAACGTTATATAGGTCCATGGCCCTAGTGATTATTTTATGAATGTTTTTGCATCATCCTGCATAGATTTAACTAGTTTATACATTCATTGAATACACACTGCCATTTAGAAAGTGGTCAAATGTAACAAATATTATATTTGGGATAACACTTTCTTAGTAATGTACAGATTCTCGTACTTTTTTTTAAAGCCTCGGTGGCTGAGTGGGTTAGATCGCTGACTTTGTGTGCTGGCAATTAGGTGCCTCAATCTGGCAAGTGTGGGTTCGAATCCCGCACGGGACTCAACCCCCCCCCCCCCCCCCCCCCCAAAATACGAGAATTTGTACCTTACTAAGAAAGCGTTATCCCAAATATGACATTTGTTATATACATTCATTGCTCAGGTGTTCTTAACACTGTTTCAAATGTTATTTAAGTATTAACAATGCATGACATGAAACTAAATAACACGCGTCTCTATTACAGGTGGGTTGTCTGGAAAATGTCATTATGCAAAAGTTTTCAAAAAGAAAAACTACAAAAGAGGCTGGATGGCGTCCGTGGGACAAGGGACGAACCCATTCCTTTCTAAGAATGTTTCAGTGAACGATGTAACCACATGACTGGAGCCCGCCCGCTAGTTGTGTGAACATTTGAAGTATTTATACTTCCATGTCGTTAAAACACATCTGTGACGTCATTCTATTGTTTGAACGCTCCATTATTTTTCAGGAATGGAGAGTTGCTTGTCAACTGTACATTATCTTGAAACAGCATTTGAATTTTTCAAATATTTTCAACTACAGAATATTTTGTCAAAGTGTAAAAGTAGGGATGAGTTTTAAGTAGGGGAATATCCTCGTAACTCTCCATTCCTTAAAAATAATGGGCCTCGGCCCCTGCGGGGCCTCTGCTCCATTATTTTTAAGGAATGGAGAGTTACTCGGACATTCCCCTCAACATAATAGCCGGGTGACGTCACTCACTAGGATTCTAGGGCGCTTCTCTCAGTAGGGGTGGCGGGTCACACGCGATGATGATATCAATGTTGACTTAATTACTGGGAGACTTGGCACGTTTCTTTAAGAAAATTGGAAGGAATTGGACCTTCGTTCAACATGTGTTCTGTGTACAATTTCCACCCAGGTTATGGGGTCTCGGTGTCAGTGTGTAGGTGTTCGGCATCAGCTTGTTATCTCGAGTCAGGTGGTCAGCTCGAAACTTAGTTTAGTCTCTTAGTCTCAAATTTGGAAGGCTTGCGCTTCCAGCATACATGTCATGGTGTGCATGGGGATGCGTATTCTACAGCAGGGTGTTATTTCATATATCCACCTATTACTGCCACACTTCAGTTTATAATTCAGGAGTCATTCACTCAGTTGCCTTTCCAAACATTTAATATGAAGAACCAGATGTAGTATCCTTAGCGGTATTTTGTAAAACCATAGAAAATTAATAAATAGTAAAAGACTGGATAGCGCCTGTGGTACTCGGGTTTGAACCCCTTTCCCTTGGGTAGAAAGAGTTTTCATGTTGAAACGAAGTAACCACATGACTGTTGCCAGTCCGCTGATTGAGTCGACATTTAAGGTATTTATAGCTTCCCGTCGATAACGCTTTGCATGTTACAAGAATAGCCACGACAGACATCGTGATTGCCGGTCGCCCCTCACAGTAAGAGTGTACTGTCACACGATATACGACCACATGAAAACAATATTGTTTCTCGTGACTTTCTCTGAGTGGTCGAGTGAGTTGTGGGTGGGCGAGTAGACGAGTGAGTTGTGGGTGGGCGAGTGGGCGAGTGAATGGTCGCGTCAGTGAGTTGTGGGTGTGTGAGTATGGCTCGAGGAAGATTGGATGGGTGAGTGAGTTTTGGGTGAATCAGTTTAAGTTAAGGGAGTGGGGGAGTGAGTGACATGTGCTAATGCAAGACATTGACGTGATTACAGTCAACAGCCCGCTTTAGATCTGTTAGTACTACTGTTTGAGCAATGTCTTTGTTCGAAATAATAGAGGAAAAGACACTTTGTGTAATAAAGGTATCATTTTAACGTTAGGTTCTAGTGATTATTTTATGAATGTTTTTGAGTCCTTCTGCATAGATTTAACTAGCTTATACATTCATTGAATACACAATGCCATTTAGAAAGTGGTCAAATGTAGCAAATATTATATTTGGGATAACACTTTCTTAGTAATGTTACAGATTCTCGTACTTTTTTGAAGCCTCGGTGGCTGAGTGGGTTAGACCTGACTTTGTGTGCTGGCAATTAGGTGCCTCAATCTGGCAAGTGTGGGTTCGAATCCCGCACGGGACTCACCCCCCCCCCCCCCAAAAAAAAATACGAGAATTTGTACTTTACTAAGAAAGTGTTATCCCAAATATAACATTTGTATATATATAATTATATATACATTCATTGCTCAGGTGTTTTTAACAAAAAAGTGTTTCAATCACTTTCAAATGTTATTTAAGTATTAACCATGCAGGACATGAAACTAAATAACACGCGTCTCTATTACAGGTGGGTTGCCTGGAAAATGTTATTATGCAAAAGCTTTAAAAAAGAAAATTACAAAAGAGGCTGGATGGCGTCCGTGGCACAAGGTACGAACCCATTCCATCGAAAGAGTGTTTCAGTAAACGAAGTAACCACATGACTGGAGCCCGCCCGCTAGCTATGTGAACATTTGAAGTATTTATACTTCTGCGTCGATAATAGCCGGGTGACGTCACTCACTAGCATTGTAGGGCGCTTCTCTCAGTAGGGGTGGCGGGTCACACGCGATGATGATATCAATGTTGACTTAATTACTGGGAGACTTGGCACGTTTCTTCAAGGAAATTGGAAGGAATTGGACCTTCGTTCAACATGTGCTCTGTGTACAATTTCCAGCCATGTTATAGGGTCTCGGTGTCAGTGTGAAGGGGTTCAGCATTATCTTGTTATCTCGAATCAGGTGGTCAGGTCGAAACTTAGTTTCGCAGGTAAGTAACTATGGGGCAATCTTGATCTTGAATACTGTTAAAAGCGGCGTTAAACACAACTCACTCACTCACTCGAATGGCGTGCATCAGATCGGTCAGTATCAGGCTCGACATTTACCGCAGTCTGTACATGTGATTAAGATCAATCACAAATCGTCCAACTGTAAGAAATATCTCTCTTTCTTAAAGGTGACATGAATTATATTTGATCTGACAATCCAGTAATTAACATCATGCTCATCGATCTACGCAATTGGGATACCATGACATGCATCTATCGAGTCAACGAGCCTAACCACCCGATCCCGTTAGTCGCCACTTTCGTCAAGCATAGTCGCCTTTCACGGCAAGCATGGGTTGATGAAGATTAATTCCATCCCGGATCTTCATGAGGAGACATGAATTATGAAACGTATGGAATCAACTAACATGAACAATGAAGGAGAATGATGTGTCGTGATATTTGCCTTCTAAGGGCAATGAAATTAAGTAAACGGTTCGCGCCTTGATTATTATGTTGAATATGGTTATCATTCATCAAACGAGTTGCACACCTTGTATTCGGTAACTGGAATAAATCTTAGAAATGTAATGCAAGAGCATATATGGTAATTTAAGTCTAAAATATATTTTTGATTCTACCTGTTGCATTATGGGTGAAAAGTATTCATGTGTAAACAATTTCTGTTTTCTTATATGACAGACCCCTTAAGGGGCCAGCATATTCTTACCTTCAGCTGTACTGAATATGACTAACCTTCCTTCCTTATTACAAATAGTACCCTTACTAAAACAGAAAAGATCCCCCCTGGACATCGAATCTGTACAATTCCTAACATCCTACAAACGCGGAATTGTTATGTCGCTGTCTTGGTTTATGGCAATAGCAGTTTGTGTTTTCCTTTGGATTTTAGCTATACCACACCACACCACACCACACCACACCACACCACACCACACCACACCCCAACACACTCCACCCCAACACATCCCACCCCACCCCACCCCACCACACCTCATCCAACCCCTCCACACCTCGACCCACCCCATCACATCTTATCCCATCCCATCACACCACACCACACCACACCACACCACACCACACCACACCAAATCCCATCCCATCCCACCCCACCCCACCCCACCCCACACCACACCGCACCGAACCACACCCACCCCACACCACACCACACCACACCACACCACACCACACCGCACCGAACCACACCCACCCCACCCCACACCACACCACACCACACCACACCACACCACACCACACCACACCACATCACACACCACACCACATATCACCGCACCGAACCACACCCCACCCCACCCCACCCCACCCTACAACACCCCACACCACACCACACACCACACCACACCACACCACACCACACCACACCACACCACACCACACCACACCACACCACACCACACCGCACCGCACCGCACCGCACCGCACCGCACCGCACCGCACCGCACCGCACCGCACCGCACCGCACCGCACCGCACCACACCACACCACACCACACCACACCACCACACCATCAGTTAAAATGCATTCGTTTCTTACTGACAGTTAAAGTAAATGTAAAGCACTCCTTTGAGTTCGTTTGTACAAAATGCCAAACTTGTCAAAATTTAATTCTGTTGAGAAATACGGTGGATTATCTGGATTATACTTTTTATCTGAGGAGCTGTGAACCATCAAGACAATGTTTCAATATGTCGAGTTTCTACAATCGTGACTGGTGTCGTGAACCGGATCTGCGGTTCACCTTCAGCAGGAAAGCGGGAAATATAGACTTGAAGCAAGCGATGCTTGGTATGCCTGAATAGGATGTAATGCAACGTGTCCTTAAACAGACAAGGATACAACCTGCTTTCTGTATCTTGTAATATTGTAAACAGTTAAATTCATTGGACGAGAATTCCGACCGTCAGAAGCCGTTAAATCGACGTTGTAAGGGTCTTCATAAGAGAAAGGACTTGGAAATAGGATGGGGTGGAAAGAACCAGACAGATGCAAAAGTCCATATACTGGTCCAAGTAATAGTTGTAATAGGATCATGTGCATGAAGACAGTATTTCTGTTATTGACGTGGCTTGTCTTCCGCATTGCTGGGATTGACATCTTGACTCTGGAGTTGGATGAAATTGCAGTAGCTCAAAAGTATCCAAGTTGTCGCATAAAACCTCGTTCTAACGCGTCTAATGAGAAGACCGTGTTGCTGTATGAAGGAGAGAGTTTACACATCGACTTGTGCATAACTCGGAAACAGATGGTGTCTGTCAAAAATCTAGCTTACTCAAATGATGGACCAAGCGACAATATCTCATTTATAGCTGACGGAAAGACGATCGGTAGCGTTATCACGAACAACGAGACGAAGTTTGGCAGTGATTGGAATTTATTTCACAAAAGCTCCACCGTCGGGGAGAAATGGACCATAGACGTTGGAAGGTTGACTTTGGTCATAAGAGCTCCTTCCACAGACCAATACGGTGTGGAGCTTGACTACCTGGATCTGGAGTTCAGCCGCAAAGTCTCTAAGGACAACAATCTATGTAAAGAGACAGAACCGACTGTGACCACACAGTTTGCGTCTCACCCATGTCGTCTCAAAGGTGAGTTCTATGCATCAAATACTTATTCGATTACTGCTTTATCGAGGCGAGATCAAAGGCCCTGTCAATCTTTTATTAGACACAAGATATCGCCGCTCTTGTTAAGAGCTATTATTGGCAGTGAAACTTACTGAATCCCAGGATTTAATGTGACGCCTATGTCCGAGGCGACGACTCCTTTTTTAACCTTAACGGGATCCGTATCGATACATTTGAAACCATGTCCTTCACTAGGTAGATATTATCAAAGAATAGTAACTTTCGACAAGGTCAGTTTGGTAAAAATAACAGTAGTGACTTATGTACCACAAGTCAGCAGCAGCCGTCTCCACCTTGCATGTCACAACATCCTGCTACGGTCTCATCTTGCTTGTCACAACATCCTGCTACGGTCTCATCTTGCTTGTCACTACATCCTGCTACGGCCTCATCTTGCGTGTTACAATGTTGTACTACTGTCCTATAATGCGTGTCACAACATTCTGCTACAGTTCTATTTTGGGTGTCACAACATCCTGCTACGGTCCTATCATGCGTGACACAACATCCTGCTACGTATACGGTCTCATCTTGCATATCACAACATCCTGCTACGGTCCTATCATGCGTGACACAACATTCTGCTACACTTCTATCTTGGGTGTCACAACATCCTGCTACGATCATATCTTGCATGTCACTACATCCTGCTACGGTCTCATCTTGCTAAGCCACCTCGTACGACCAGCAATGGGGTGTTGGTGTTGTGCACTACTAACGATTTCATGTTATTAACACTCATAAACATGTGTTCCATGTACATAATGCTACAATATCGCATTATGCAGGTGCATTACGTGTCATCTGAATACACGATTTTGCGATCACAGTGAATAAAAGCGACAAACCCTTTCCATATTCACAAGAAATCTCTGCAAGAAACACAGTCCATGATAAGCATGTCTTTATTAATCACTTTCAAATATAGATGATACCAGGTTTTAGCGAAAAGGTATCCTGCCCTGGCGGTGGCACGTGACAAACACATGCAAAGCCAAATCAATTGTTCACATAAAAAAACACGGCAACAAAAGGATGTTACTGGTTAAAATAAGGAATTGCATCGAACATCATTCTTGTCACTGATGCGTCAAATTTGGAATTGTCCTCCACGTGTCTAAATATGTTTAGAACAGTTGTACTTCCTGTACATTAATACGACGATAGTGATTCAATGTGTTGATCACACTGATGTGAAGCATGATTATCAAACGTGGTGTACACATATACAATTAAATATCTATCTTCAGAAGGTTCCAGTCAATTTGTCAAAAATGCCATCTAAAGCTTACTGAGTAAACAGTATGTAAAATGGAGGACTTCCTTACTGATAACATAACAAAATGGGAGGTAAGACATTTAGGCAGGAAGTAGGCATCCCCATGCCCGTCACCACCTGTGCTCCCCTTCTTGCTGACTTGTACAAGGTAATTTGACCAGAGCGTTTAACTTAAACGCCAGGCATATCGATAATCTGGTATCGTTCAATAACCATCAAATAGCCAATTGCTTGCAACTGATTCACCCACCTGTGCTAGAAGTAAAGGTGACCAGTCAGACATATTTAGATATATGCATAATGAATCAGAGTGACAAAACACTCTCCACAAGACTTATAACTCACTCTTTCCAATGGTCAACTTTCGCTATATGTCAGGCAATATTCCCGCAGCTACAACATGAACACAATATTACATGAACACAATATATGTTATATGGCTTAACTTTCATAACGGTTTCATGTAGCCATTATTTATCACAATATAATCTAGTCTGATTTTGAATTGCAGACACATCAGCAAACACTCCTACAAGAACTGATACCACGACAACCATGACTCCAACGGTGTCTTCAGTAACAACTACAGCTGCAGTTCCTGTTCGATCAGAGACTGTTGTATTCCAGGGTGGTTCTAAAGTGATTTCTCTCCGCCGAGCCACCAAGTTTGTCTGCCAGGAAGAGATGGCCAAATTCCTTGTCACTTCGAGAGACACGAACATTCTTCATGTATCTACACTACATAGAACAACCATCACCGCCCCTGTGCATCCAAGCTTTGCCCTAAGCGCCACACCCGATTTTACAGAATCACGACCAACTGTTCTTATTGAAGGTTTTTCTGGCCGAGGAAAGAATATGTGGGTTGTGATGGACGGCAAGGACGCTGAAGTTTCAGTCCTTATCGTTTCAGTTCCTGCACCAAATTTTGGACAAATGTCACCGATGCTGATATTCTACCAAGACGGTCATTTTCGCCTTTTTCCTTACCATCCAGTGTATGCTCAACCCAAGTTTTACTTGACGAGTCCTGAAGACGGACAGGAAACAACTGGCCTCGACATTGATACTGTTGCTGTAGCTGTTACCGATAGCGAATTAGAACTTAAGGTGAAGAGCGGAAACCATATGACTAGGATGCACATGGGGCTTGGAGAACTGTCAACCCAACTGACGGTGATTGTAGGGGAGGGAAATGAGTCAAACCTCCTGTCTGTTGTCACACCATGTTGGATTGGCAGTGACCCGTTCATGCGTCTCTTCGCCCAAGTTGATTCTGGGGACTTCAAGTCACTGTTTGTGTCTTCAGATCCCTTATCGGGGAACAACATTTCAATCAGAATCGATGAAATGAAAAAGAAATAGAACTCACACGTTGCGGTCACTACTTGAACCGTTTATCACACTTGTATAGCTAATTTAATGCTTATATATCCAGTTAGCCCATGAACATTGTGCCGCATGCTATATCATGAATCCTACTTCCTGTAAAAAACATATTGATGTCATATGCAGTCAGAACAAATATAGTTTATTGTATCTTATAGCTTAAATGGATAGAATTATCATTAAAACGCCCGCATGTTATCAGAAATGAGCGGGCCACTGTAACTTGATAATGCCCTCATATTACTTGACGACGGGCCATTATCACGCCCGTTGTTAGGTGACGTCATAGGATAGGGATACGTGACGTCACGTTCAATAGTCTGGTTTGTTTCCATATTTGTAAAAGTGGGTCAGTGACATTCGTGTTGATTTCAGTAAATGTTTCAAAACCGATATTGTTGTTTCTTTTTATTTGATAACAAATTCCATCCATTTTAGCTATAATAACGGTAACGCTATTTTTCAGGGCATTATCATTTGCAGATACCTCGGTCATTCAACTGCCCTTCTTCGTCGGGCAGTTAATGGAAGACCTCGGGCTTCTGCAAATGATAATGCCCTGAAAAATAGCGTTACCCTTATAATATAACTACCGATTTTGACGTGCCGATATTAGAACGTATTACGACTTGAAGTGATGTGTCACTGAAGCTGTGTGCAACTTAGAGGTATCGAGTGAATGGCAATCTGGCCTCTGTTTAATATAAACAAACATTTCACTTGTCCATGAAAAATCATTACTGTTAGAAGTTAGAAGTTCATTTTTAATGCAAACTTTGGGAGTACAATTTTGGCCTATGTTGTGTACTGAACCAAACACGTATAATTGCACTTTATGGATACACGTTTTAATTCTACCTTTAATATCACAATAACGTTTATTAAAGGCCAGGCTGCGACGTATTTCATGATCCACTGAAGTGCAATAGTTTACTGAAGGCCGTGCTGCCATGCTCTTCATGATACTGAAGTGCAATAGATTACGGAAGGCCAGGATGCAATGCTCTTCGTGATACTGAAGTGCTAGAGTTAACTGAAGGCCAGGATGCCATGCTCTTCATGATACTGAAGTGCAATAGTTTACTGAAGGCCGGGCTGCCATGCTCTTCATGATACTGAAGTGCAATAGTTTACTGAAGGCCAGGATGCCACGCTCTTCATGATACTGAAGTGCTATAGTTTACTGAAGGCCAGGATGCCATGCTCTTAATGATACTGAAGTGCTAGAGTTAACTGAAGGCCAGGCTGCCATGCTCTTCATAATCCTGAAGTGCAATAGTTTACTGAAGGCCAGGCTACCGTGCTCTAAATGATACTGAAGTGCAATAGTTTACTGAAGGCCAGGCTGCCATGCTCTTAATGATACTGAAGTGCTATAGTTTACTGAAGGCCAGGATGCCATGCTCTTCATGATACTGAAGTGCTATAGTTTACTGAAGGCCAGGATGCCATGCTCTTAATGATACTGAAGTGCTAGAGTTAACTGAAGGCCAGGATGCCATGCTCTTCATGATACTGAAGTGCTATAGTTTACTGAAGGCCAGGATGCCATGCTCTTAATGATACTGAAGTGCTAGAGTTAACTGAAGGCCAGGCTGCCATGCTCTTCATAATCCTGAAGTGCAATAGTTTACTGAAGGCCAGGCTACCGTGCTCTAAATGATACTGAAGTGCAATAGTTTACTGAAGGCCAGGCTGCCATGCTCTTAATGATACTGAAGTGCAATAGTTTACTGAAGGCCAGGCTACCGTGCTCTAAATGATACTGAAGTGCAATAGTTTACTGAAGGCCAGGATGCCATGCTCTTAATGATACTGAAGTGCTATAGTTTACTGAAGGCCAGGCTGCCATAGTTCCCATAGCAGCGACGAGTCTTGCTGGTCTGACTCTGTCGTTTATTGATGGATGGACTGAGGTGTAGTAAGGGTTTGTTAGTATGAAACCTCATGTTGCCTTAATCCTTGTATGTTTGTTTACCCGTACATGAATGTCTATGGGGTAAGCAGCAGTAACGGTAGTCGGACCCCCCACTCCTTGACTCTGATGACCAGGCGAGTTGCAGAGTTATGGCTTAACTGACCATGACGACACGGAACTGTTATACGCTGTTGTAGGGTCCCTTGACGCCCCAAAAGCAGTTACGGCAGATCGATGCTCGATAATACTCCGTAATATTGCTGGAATGTTGCTGGAATGTTGGTGAGTGTAGCGTGAAACAACAAGCACGTCGAGACTGCTTCCGTGCACACTGTCGGTGATGTTAAAACCACAAATTTTAATGCAAAGATGAGAAAATCTACCAAACTCCTTGACCGGCGCAATGGCCTCAGATTAAACCAAGGCAGACTAAGAATCTGATTCACGACAGTTGTTATCCTGAGATGACTGCATTGCTGGTTATTTAGAATCGTTCATGTGTAGTTCTGAATCACTTAATAGTATTCAAGATGTACGTTATTTATTCATTACGGTGTAATTTTGACGTATGTAAAATTTGCAATTTACGTCCTTATTAATACGAATTCAAAAGTTGTTTCCGTGTAATAAACATTCTACCATGACATTGAAGAATGCTTGATTCTGATTGGTTAGAAAAGGTTCCTTTTTGCAACAGAAACCTGTCTTTTCAAACAAATACCGTGAGTTTGAAAACACTGATAGCCTTCATATCGATCCATAAAAAAACGGCTGCCGATCACCAATAAGAACGTTAACTGTGTACCGTATCGATATTTCCTCCATTTAGGCGCTTGGTCTCTAATACAAGATAGGGCTCTGACACACGCCGGGTTAACGGCTCTCTCGAAATTTAATAGTCCGAGAGTCTAAAAGAGGAAATACGGTACGCTTGATTAGGGATGTTTTTAGCGACAATTTTGGCCTTGAAGGCCGTAACCCTGACTGCTTCGATGAGATTACAAGACTTAACGACCCGTGAAGATCCGGGGATAGAATAGGTCTTCAGCAACCGACTATGCTTGTCGTAAGAGGCGACTAACGGGATCGGATGGTCAGGCTCGCTGACTTGGTTGAAGCATGTCATCGATCCCAATTGCGTGGATCGATGCTCACGGTTTCAATCACTGAATTGTCTGGTCCAGACTCGATTATTTACAAATCGCCATCATATAACTGGAATATTGCCGAGGGTGGCGTTAAACAACAAACAAACAGACAAACAAGACTTCACGAAGGCATATCTTTTGCATACAAATGATAACATTTATGAAACCGTTAGGGACATATTCAGTGGTGAACAGGTAATTTCCCCTTTGAAATAAATGATAGGCATAATGAAAGTAAAAGAAAACACTATAAAAAGTGTTTTAAAAAACTTTTTTCATGACAATATGTTGTTTACAAACCTTCTTGCGCCATCACCGTCAATCACCAACTTCAGCAACCCATGCTTGCCGTAAAAAGCGACTAACGGGATCGGCCGCGGGTGGTCAGACTCGCTGACTTGGTTGATGCATGTCTAGTATTCCAATTGCGTGGATCGATGCTCGTGATAGCAATCACTGGATTGTGGTCCATAATCGATTATTTACAGACCGCCGTCATATAGCTGCAATATTGCTGAGTGCGGCGTTAAACAACAGATAAACAAGCAAACAAACCAACGTTAGGATTTGGCAGGAGGGGATTTGAAAGGCAATCAGAAAACACTCCTTCCTTCGCCAATGAGAGGTCAGTATCGAGAACTGTTAGAGACTCCACCATTGCCTTGCGCTGATTTACATAGTTTTGGGAATGAAGAAAATAATGAACCACATTGTACAGTGTGTGTGAGCAGCTTGACAGTGTTCAGAAATGTCTTTATTAATAACACTGGGATAAGCACCAAGACCACAATGCCCAAGACAAAGTCTGGTTAATAGAACCTCCTCTCTCTGTTTCGAGATATTTCGAATGTGTTTAAAAAAGGCTCGATGCCATAGGGATGACGTCCTTTTAAGGATGATGCCCATTTCAGTTGCCATTTACTATTAACATGGATCTTACCGATTGTTGGCAGCCATTGACAGTTGCCAGAAGGAAACAGTTGTTTTCGGTTTGTTTTGGTATAGCTCGTCCAAATACACTCGATTAACTTCGAAATGCTCGCCCAAACACACCCGTTGCTGTACTGCTTGCGCATGTTTTTTTTGCAAATCTCGTGGTTTTCATGCTCTGTATGCGACAGACCACTACGTTGGACAGCGTAATTTCGGAGTTGACATTTATTCTTGTGTGACGAAGACGTCCTCGGAACTCTTGTCAGGAGATTGCTTTTTCTGATATCAGAATGAACTTCCATAATCGGGAAATTGAAACTACTTTATAAAGGAAAGTGGTCAATTATTCACCCTTTCGTTGAATATACAGAAAACGTTATTTTGGCGGAATTTATGCAGTTTTGTAAGGAAGGTTAGTGTTTCTGTCCTTTTGTAAACCTCATTAAATGTCCTACATGATCTTTTTGACTTGTTTATTTAATTGGAAAAAAGAACTGCCTCATTCCCATATGGTAGCAGAGCGTAGTTACCAAGCGGTAAGTCAAATTGATTATGTCGTGTATGCAGAAGGAAGGCCAGAGAAACAAACGGGTCTCTGTTAAAACGTGAGCACATTTTGAAACTAAACAACAAAAAGCAAATGTTAGGTCAACCTTCACAAAAGCCAAAATAAAGTTGTACAGTTTACAAGAATCTCCTGACCAACCATAGGGGATAGGGGGCACGGGTGTCCCAGTCTTCCGAGGCGCCGCGATTCACTGTGCAGAGTTGCGTCCCTTGGGCACGCCAGAAACCTATGATTGTGGGTTCGAATCCCGGCTCGCCCCGATCATGTTTCTAGGTTTGTCAGCACCATACCCGTGCTCGTGGGTTTCACCGAAGTGGTATACGTCTGAGACCTGCATCACTTCGGGCTTTCCTCCCACATAAAGCTGACACGTCATGATATAACTGGAATAATGTTAAAGGCGGCGTTAAACCCAACTCACTCACAATAGGAAAACATTTGGTTGCGTGTAACCTGAAGGGTTAGTATATATTTCAGCATTTCCTAATTTGTTTTCCTGTATATCCATATTTCCATAGACCCTTTCGAATAATTGTAGAGGCAAATTTGAACTCAAAATGAGTGAGGCAAGTGGAAAATGAGGTTGCAAGAAATGGTTTGGCTGTCGTGATAAGCAGGGCTATGGTCGTTTCTTTGTGGCCATCGAAGGTGCGGACAGGAGTGTAGCACTCTGTATTGAGCACAAATGC